CAAAGAGAACCCTTTGTTTCCCCACCCCTCCAGCTTTGAAAGTATCTTGTCTCCTCATTGGTCATTTTGGTCAGGTGCCAGCGAGGTTGTCTTTAGCTTCTTAACCCTTTACAGGTGAAAGGGTTTTTCCTCTGGCCAGGAGGGATTTAAAGGTGTTTACCCTTCACTTTATATTTATGACAATCAACATTTATCAGTAAAAATAGAATTAAATCCTGTGAATATGAACTGCATATGTTATGGTGAATCAGATGCTGAAATGTGACATCATATTTGTTGTTCCTACCTTTTCGTCTGAGAAATAGAAGCTTCTGTTCTTTTCTGTGATTTGGATCAGATGTCTTTTTCAAATTTATATTGATTCCAGAATAGAGTGTTTGAAAATAATTATTATTGATAATACTTCTTAGCTTTATATAGTGAAATTGAGAGGGACACATTATTGGTTGTGATAACGATGAAGTTGGTCCAATAAAAGATATTACCTCACCTACCTGGTTACGACAAGTCACGCAATAGATGTTTTTGACATATTAATACAGAGCCAGATTCACCCCTGGACTACACCAACATTAGGCTTTAATTGTGGAGTTCCTACTAACACAATTTGAAGCTTCTATCCTGTAACCCTACAGGGTAAAAACCATTGAGGTAGGGCAGTAGTGCAAATGTTATCTGTCCTCTCCTTGTGGTGAATTCTTTATGTGAGGTGACATTAGTAGCAGATAATGTAATTTGCACTGCTCTGTGCCCACAGGGGTGAATAGAGCCCAGAGAGTATGCCTCCAGTGATTATTCTCCACCCCCGCCCCCTCCAAACACTACTATCAAGACTTGCACTGGCAACTAAGTCAGGAAACAGACACCAGGCAGGCTAGGTAAATTCCTGAGAGCAGTTGGTCGATTTAAAATTATTTTTTCCTTGAAAATTATTTTTTGCACCAAACTCAGACAGTTTTCTAAGAACAGGACACCTCATTGCCAGAAAATCCCCAGGACAAACAACAACTATGCACCCCTCGAATGCTTCTGTTTGTTTGTTTGTTTTATTATGAACTCCTCTACTATTTTTTTTGTCTGTATTCATTCATTCACCTCCAGGCCATCTGTGTTCTGCATTGAGAATGCCTTTCTGTTTTCTTGCTTATGGGTTGCGTTGAGACATTTCAGTGTTGCTTTGAAGCACAAAGCTCTGTCACATCCCAGAGACAAGTGAAAGTGTCTGCAGGCAATTGAATGGAATGGACAAAAACATTGACTGTACTGACCACTCAGTGAATTGCACTCCTGGTGACTATGCAGTTTACCCTCCCCTGAGCTGACCTTTTCTATAGGACCTCCATTCAGATTCATTGCATTTTCAGGACATACCTGGTCATGTGGCACCAAAGCTGTTACTCTTAGAGACGCACAGTTATGGAAATGTGAGCACATCTCACAAAGCTGGTGCAATTTAAGAAAACACACCATACGTCTTGAAAAGTACATACAGTCTAAAGAGAATAGACAATGACTTAAAAAAATAGTCTCGATCCCTTGCCTTTTCAACTTGTGAGGCAGCCATTGCATATACCTGCTCAAATACATCCCTGGGATAATGCCTCTGAGTTACATCAAGGAAGAATTTAATGTAGAATCTCTCTTGGGGTTAGAGTGTTTCTGGAATACTATAACTGTGTTCAGAAAACAGCAAATAGTCTTTATTGTTCAGTGAAGAAGTTTATTGCACAGTTATGCCCTGTACTCTAGTACACTCAGCTTTCAGTGATACTGTTATGAGCTGGGTGAAACCTTGTAATGGGGTTGATTTAAGATTGGCAGGTGTGAACATATTCTTCAATTAACATAACACTAAGTCTAAGCCCCACCTAAAACAAAAGGGTGTGTGAACCCACCCAGGATTTTTTGGCTGAGTATTGTTTTCAGTAGGTGTGTATGTGTGTGGGAAGAGAGATCTCACAGAATCTGAGGTCAGACAAGAACAGACAAAGTGAGAGAGACAGCCAGAAGGAACAGCTAAAAGGCTGTCTCTGGAAGAAACCTGGGGAGAAGGTTTTTTTTTTTTAGTCAGAGATTCAAGCTGAACAGAGTGTTTTTGGTGCTGTGAGCAAAATAAACTGTTTCCTGCTACTTTATTCCTTCTGTGGTCAGTGACACAGGGCTTGTACATTCTTTGTAAATAAACAAAATTACATCAAAGAATTACCTGACTACTACCCATTTGTACTCCCAACTGGAACACCATCTACAGGTCCCCAAACTTTGACTAGGCCTCCAGTAAAAGGGGTAACAATACATTTCATATTGATTTGAGTATCCTATTTTAAATGGGTTAAAGCATTGTGGAAGATAAAGGCAAGAAAAGAAAAGTTGGGACGATAGAATGGATCATAGTGCTTACAGATTTGTTAAGTCTTGTAAAATCAGTTTTCAAAGACATTGTTTGGGTGAATGACATTGAATTGGTGACAGCAGGTCTTCTGAATTTCTTCAGATAGCTATATTTAACATTTTTATTGACCAAAACATGGGGCACCGTCTTTTTCTTCCATCTATTTTTTTTTTCATTCCAGACATGTGTAGCTGTTGGTTAATTTATTTGTGTTGAACTTGAATTTTTGGCATGTGCTTAAAATAGACTTGGGAGCAGTCTACTTATTGATTATAATGTGAATTTTAATCTTTTGTAAAGGCACTTCGACAGGCCTCTGTTATTGTTTAATTAAAATAAGCCTACAAAACGTTCATTGTTTCCAGTTTACCTGTGTCCCAATTAGAAGATTGTTTGTGGATTGACTGCTCTGTGGAGGCCTAAATGTTGCATAGCAGGAATGTTGTAGGTCAGGATTGAGGTGTATCATCAGGGCTGTCTGAGGAAAGCTTGCACAGTGTGGATGTGGACACTGGATGAAATCCTGCTTCCTTTACTCACTTGCAGAGTCCCACTGCAGTGGGACTATGTGCTAAGCAAGGTAAAATGGATTTGACCTCATTATGAGCCAGACTCTCTAGTCCACCACCAAGTTCACTTTGCGTCACTGGCCGGAAATCCTCACAGGAGAATTCTCCCCATGTATTGGGAATCTCTGCCTCAGCTGTTGCTCTACCCGTGGTGTAAGGGGTGGAGTAATAGGGAGCAGTAGTAGAGCCATGGTCTACCAAGCCTTATCTGCAAATTGGCAGAGTAGGTCTCATGCTACTTGAGTGCGCACCTGAGCGAGGCAGCTGGGAACCAGGGAGCCACAACCAGCTCCTTGTGGCTTCCATTCTCTACTACATCCAAGCCCAGCTCAGACAAAGCTGAGAATCAGGACTGGTGTGTTTACAGTCACTAGTGCTACTTGTCTGTCACTTTGCCAAATTTTGACCATCTTTAAAATTAATAAAAAAATCTGTCAACTCCATGACCCACATTGAGTCTTATTAACCTCTTTACTGTTTCATTCATACACAGTGCAAATCCAGCAACACAGCCCCCTTAGAGCTTGTTGGAAATCTGACCCTGGAAAAGATGAACAGCCATTTGTGTCTTGAAATCCCAAACCTAAAATATTCCCCCTCTTCTTTTCCCCTTCTAGTTCCTATTTCCAGCCACATCTCTTACATAGGTACCCCCAAAATTGGAAATTCTGCATGGCACTGAAGTGAATAACATAGTGCTTCATAGCATATGGTAAGAGTGTAATACTGTGAAGGTACAGCTGCAGTAGAAGTGAGTGTGTATATATCTGAGTAAACATATGTTGTAATTCTTTATATATTGGGTTAAGATCTAAAATGTAGAACTAAATAACAGATAGATAGTTCTTGATCCACTATTACAGTTCCAGTGACTCACTGACACATCACTGTTGCAGCAATTACAGAACAGCGTATTATAGATTCTGACTCAGAGAGGTGTTTTATTCCAAAGGCTTCTGGCAATTGCTATAGTTCTTGCTCTACCGTTATAAGGAACTCATTGTTATGGATGGCATAGTACCATAAAGAGACTGAGCTAAGGATAATGGAATGAGGTTTGGACTTAGTGAACCTGTAAAGGAGAGCTTTGCTTTGGATGAGCACCCGGAAATTTGGATGCATGAACCTTAGCCACATTGCTTGGGTCTGCAAAAGTGGGCCCACAGCCTAACAAGAAAGGCTCTTCTTATGGTATTTCAGGACTTCACTGCCAGGCACAACCAGGAAGTATAGAGGAGTCTAGAAATTAAAAATAATTTATAAAATAACCTAGACTTTTTATATCTCCAAAAAGGTTTTGTATGGGTTCAGTTCCATCTGGAGAAATATATTTCTTTCTCATTCACACATGCACACATGAATACTGGACCTGATTCTCCATTACTGTAGTGATTTCCACCTTTGTAAAGTGAGTGCATAATGGTGTCATTCTGATTTGCCAAAGTTTTACCATTGCTTTTCTCTGGTGAAAATGACTACACACATTGCAGGCCAACAGACAATCAGGCTTCTAGTTCTGGGAACACTCTCTAATGTATACTGTGTATAGACCTGCACCCAGGGTTGCATAACAAATCAGTTCAGAACTCTGAATAGATTCCAGACCTTCTGACTCTCTGTCCTGTGCCTTAATCGCTGCACTCTATTTAGAAAATGGTAAGAAGCTCTGAATAAAATTGGTATATTTACTTTCCACCATTTCACATTTCAGAATCTGAAATGCTTCATTTAACATGAGGATCATGAAACAGAACAGTCAAATGAAATTATCCCCAGTATTGTGCAGTATTTTTTAAATGCCCCAGTCTGAAAACATGCACAAAACTTAGAAGGTTTTCAATCAACATCTTGCAGTTCAGCTGAGAAGGGTTTTCATCCAGATATACAATACACAACTCCAACATGAACTAGGAACTACAGGTAGGTTAGAGGAAGCTCACTAAACCAAACCCCTTAGATGGCTTTACATTGGATTATTATGTAAACTTTTTTGCTACTGGCATTGCTTTTGGGGAGTTTCAGCTGTTTTCTTTTTGCAGGTTGAGTGGACCAGAGTAAGATATTAATGAACGGATGGATTCTGCTGATAAGATCGGCCATCCCACCATGACCACTGATGTGTCAGAAGCTGGGGAATTGTGTCTGGAACCTCTAGTCACTTGCAAGCTATGCCTCTGTGAACATTCTCTTGATAAGATGACCACTCTTCAAGAATGCAGCTGCATCTTCTGTACAGCGGTAAGCAGTGACAGCACCTTAACCAAGAAATAGAGTAATAGACTATGGAGGTACAAGGGACCTATTATATTGTTATGGCACAAGTCAGGCAGTGATGTCATTTACTCCCATCCATGCCAATACAGATAGTTTCCTGGCATATTCTTGCTACTGCTTTGTCCGGTCTTGCTTAAAAGAATGTTGACGTTAATGAGGCTTTCATCAGCTTGGAATTCTAATGAAGATACTCCCATAGCCAATAAAATGCATATTGGTGGAATCATAAATTACAGTAGGACACCTTCTCTTTTTATGGTTAGCTGAGCAAGTAAACAATTCATATTCAATCAGCATCTTTATTTTTCCTGAAGAAAAATATTAATACCACCATAGAGTTCTGTAGAATCTTCTTAAAATGTTTCTTCCCCATAAATATTTTATAGATGCTCTAAAGAAAATAGCCCTCAAACTCTTCCGGTGCAGTCATACTGTGGAGGTCCCAGGTAGCATTTTTTGTCAATTAAGTGTTGTTGTTGTTGTTTTAAAAACCTAATTTGTCAGTAAGGCTGATTGAGGTATAAGGGCATAAGATTAAGTGGTATAAGGTTAAGTGACTTGATAAAGGTCATACAGTGGCCAACCCAAAATTAGACCTCAGTATTTGACTGGCTTTCATTTCACCTCATGAACCAGATTCTGATCTCTGTTTTGTTGTGTGAATCCAGAATAACTCTAGTAACTTCAACTGAGCTAGTCTACATTTATGCCAGGGTAAATAAGATCAGCATCTAGCTGCATGTTTTAAAATGGACAATATTCAATGGATTGAAATAGAATCTGTGAATGTGGTTTTTAATTTTGACCTTTATTATGATTTAATTGCCTATTGATTAAACAGAGCGTTCAAGCTATCCAACTTATATCTTTTGTTTTCAAATTTTTCTCTAGAATGTAATATGAAAACATGGTTTTGACTATTGTAAATTTAAGATTGTGGAATTTCTGTAGAACACATGGGAAAGTTCTACTCAGCCTTGGTTAGTATAATTTTTATCAAATCCTTTTTGGATAGTCTTTACATAAGTAGACCCCAATCTTTAATCACAGAACGACTAAGTTGAACGGATCTTCAACTGATGTAAATCATCCTCTTTCTTTTAAGTTCAGAGGAGCAATGCCAATTTACACCAGCTAGGAATCTGTATCTAGTACTCACATACTTAGCAGAATGTGTCCAAATGTCTCTCTCATTTCAATGGACTTTTAAATGTTTGAATAGCTCTTAAGCCTTGTGTTTAAGCTTTGTCTCACTTTTGGTGTCTGTCTACCTTTGTCTTTATGCCTTGTTGTTATATATATGTCAGTCCCAGGATATTAGCAAGACAAGGTGGGTGAGGTAAGACAAAGGTTGTCTCTCTTACCAACAGAAGTTGGTCTAATAAAAGACATTACTTCCCCCACCTTGTCTCTCTGGTACCTTTGTCTTTCATGCTTATTCTGTTTCCTTCTCTCTCTCTTACTTGTTCTGTGCATGTCTTGTATGCGGTGTCAGGGATGGACAAGGAAGGAACACTTCCCATTTTCCTGTTAACTGGTCGATTTTACAGAAACAAGGCTATTGTGGCAATATGTGACTCAGGTTATGGAGGGTTGAGTCACTGATTGCACAGAATGCTGTGTTCATTCATGTTGCTCCTCCTTGCTATCTTCCTGCCACTTATTTGAGATTGCTGAGAGCCAGATACATCTATATAAGCTAGTCGTGATGCAAGTTCTAATGTTTCCATTGTACATATCTTATCTAAGAGCAGGTAATCCTTCTCAGTACAGTGAAGGACTACTCTGCACGAAGCCAAACGGCTCTCAAACTGCATGTGCAACTTTTGACCACAGTGGGAGTTCTCCTGTAGATGAAGAACATGCTTTAGCACTCAGATTTCCCTTCAAAGAAGAAATAGATAAGTTCATGAAGGATAGGTCCATCAATGGCTATTAACCGAGATGATCAGGGATGCAACCCCGTGTTCTGGGTGTCCCTAAGCCTCTGACTGCCAGATGCTGGGACAGGAAAATGGGATGGATCACTTGAGAATTGCCCTGTTCTATTCTTTCTCTCTGAAGCATTTGGCACTGGCCACTGTTGGAAGACAGGATACTGGGCTAGATGGACCATTGGTCTGACCCAGTATGGCCATGCTTATGTTATCTTGCCTTGTTCCCTGCTGTCTCATCCTGACCCCAGTTACTGACTCTGGCTTTGACCCTGGGCGTAGTTTCTGCCTCTTACTCTGTGACCCTTGGTGTGACCCCTGACCACAACGCTAATCTAGGTTTTAACCATTAGGTTGGACTGCCTATGTATGGGCCTGAAGGCATCTTCACTGGTAATTACAGCACATGCCTCATTAGCATTATCTGCTTTTAAATAGATAATTTTCTTCTGGGGTAAAATTCTGTGTTGCTTTTCTAAGAGGTGCAGCACAAAACTCATGGCCCAGAAAGCAGGGGGAGGTAGGTTTGGTGGCTTTAAGCCACTTACATGCACTCCTGATTTTGGGCTACTGTGGGGGTTGATGTGACCTCTGGTGTAACTTAACCTAAGTTACAGCAGCCTAGGAGCAGCAGTTCTGCCCAGAATCTCCTCCCCAGTACTATGTGCTGTGCCTCTATGCCTGATATGTCCCTCCCACCACAGTCCTGACCCTGGCACAGCTCCTACAACCGAGGGGGTGGGGAGGGCAGTCCCCTGAAGCAGACGCTGCAATCCCGGCAATCACAGACTGGTAAGTCTAATGTCAGTACCGGGCAAATTAGTTGAAACAATAATAAAGAATAAAATGATCAGACACACAGAAGAACATAAATTGTTGAGCAAAAGTCAACATGGTTTCTGCAAAAGGGAAATCAAAGAACTCTAATAGATTAGTAAGACACGAAGGGGTCAACAAACATGTGGACAAGGGGGATCCAGTGGACATGGTGTAGTTAGATTTCCAGAAAGCCTTTGACAAGGTCCCTCACCAAAGGCTCTTATGTAAATTAAGTTGTCATGGGATAAGAGGGAAGATCCTTTCATGGACTGAGAACTGGTTAAAAGACAGGGAATAGAGGGTAGGAATAAATGGTAAATTTTCAGAATGGAGAGGGGTAACTAGTGGTGTTCCTCAAGGGTCAGTCCTATGACCAATCCTATTCAACTTATTCATAACTGATCTGGAGAAAGGGTAAACAGTGAGGTGGCAAAGTTTGTAGATGATACTAAACTGCTCAAGATAATTAAGACCAAAGCAGATTGTGAAGAACTTCAAAAAGATCTCACAAAACTAAGGGATTGGGCAACAAAATGGCAAATGAAATGTAATGTGGATACATGTAAAGTAATGCACATTGGAAAAAATAACCCCAACTATACTGTAAAGTTGCACTCTATATGATTTTATAAAAATATGCTAATGAGTGTGAATATAATGTAACTGGAATATGCTTCATGCAAAAGGTCTCTTGTAAGGTATCATTACAAAGCTTATAATCTACTGAGTGTGGTCATCTTATTTGTATAAATGTATCACTCTTGTATCTGAAACTAGAAATATGAAATATAACTCTGAGGTCCTGTTGTAGTTATGCAAAGTGTGGGCCATTATGGTGGTCTGGAATCTTAATGGCTTCCATTAACTAGGACAATTACCTGTAGATGGCTCTGTTTTATTTGTAAGTCTTCCTGTATACCTGTGGGCTGGCAAGTGGGTAATGAAATCTTACAGTGACATGTGATCATGTCACCTGAACTGGAATCCATCTTTAACCTGGTGCTTTTCCATTGAGAAGAGGGGTGGGAACCTAGAGGGACAAAGGATTCCAGCCTTATGCAAAAGATATATAAGTGGGTGGAATAGAACAAAGGGAGCAGCTATGACGAGAAATGCCCTTGCTGCCACCTGAGCTGGAACAAGGGCTGAACCAGGGGAAAGAATTGTGCTCAGACTAGGAAGGCATCCAGGCTGTGAAAGAAACTTATTGAAACATCTCTGAGGGTGAGATTTATATCTGTATTCAGTTTCTTACTATATTAGACATAGACTTGCGTGTTCTATTTTATTTTACTTGGTAATTCACTTTGTTCTCTCTGTTACTACTTGGAACCACTTAAATCCTACTTTCTGTATTTAATAAAATCACTGTTTACTTCATTAACCCAGAGTATGTATTAATACCTCGGGGGGATGCAAACAGCTGTGTATATCTCTCTATCAGTGTTATAGAGGGTGAACAATTTGAGTTTACCCTGTATAAGCTTTATACAAGGTAAAATGGATTTATTTGGGGTTTGGACCCCATTGGGAGTTGGGCATCTGAGTGTTAAAGACAGGAACACTTCAGTAAGTTGCTTTCAGTTAAGTCTGCAGCTTTGTGGCACGTGGTTCAGACCCTGCATCTGTGTTGGAGCAGACTGGCGTGTCTGGCTCAGCAAGACAGGGTGCTGGAGTCCCAAGCTGGCTGGGAAAGCAGGACAGAAGTAGTCTTGGCACATCAGTTGGCAGCCCCAAGGGGATTTCTGTGATCCAATCCATCACATATCCATACAATATGATGGGGGCTAATGTAGCTACAACTAATCAGGAAAGAGATCTTGGAGTCATCGTGGTTAGTTCTCTGAAGACGTCCACGCAGTGTGCAGCGGCAGTCAAAAAAGCAAACAGGATGCTTTAATGATTTAGGAATCATTAAAAAGGGATAGAGAATAAGACGGAGAATATCTTATTGCCCTTATATAAACCCATGGTATGCCCACATCTTGAATACTGAGTACAGATGTGGTCTCCTCATCTCAAAAAAGATATACTGGCATTAGAAAAGGTTCAGGGAAGGGCAACTAAAATGATTAGGGGTTTGGAACGGGTCCCATATGAGGAGAGATTAGAGGCCTAGGACTTTTCAGCTTGGAAAAGAGGAGACTAAGGGGGGATATGATAGAGGCATATAAAATCATGAGTGGTGTGGAGAAAGTGATAAGGAAAAGT